TGCACATATAGGGCTTATATGTGGATAAAAAGAAGCAATACAGGATACCTATATGCCTGTATATGCACATATATGCACCTCAGTTTTGCCTATATGTGCAATATATACGCATATATGCAGCATATATATTATCATATATGTGCATATATGCTGTATATATGAAGCATATATGTGCATATAAACTGCATATAGGTTTCATATATGCGCATATATCCTCATATAGGTTCTTTCCATGTGGGTATGAATAAAGGATCATATTAACATGTGAACTCGTGAAGTGTTTTGTGAAGTCTCCATGAAACAGAACATTAAACCAAGTTAAATCTGTTACTACTGAAGCGTTTGCATAGAGAGTGTGTTTTACATGAGCGACACACGCTTCAGCGCTCTGCGTGTGTTTATAACTCTGTCAAACACCAAACATGATCAACAACTGTTTTTCACTAGAACTGAACCTTCAACCAACAAAAATGACTTTCATCACCATATTGATCTGGACGCTGGCAGTATTATGTCGAGGTTTGTGTCAGTCAAGATTATATACATTATTTATTATGTGTGTTGTGAAGATATATGGCTGTAAAAGTGTTTGTGATTTCTAATATTTCTCTCTTGTCAGAATCTGTTGGTCAGGAGACAGTGACTCAAACTCCCTCAGAGCGGCTCTATGAACCTGGACAATCAGTCACTATAACCTGTAAAACTAGCAGTGATCCAGTCTCCTGGTGTAGTAGCAAACCATGTCTGAGCTGGTACTTACAGAAACCTGGAGAAGCTCCTAAACTCCTGATTTATGCAGCAAACCGCCTCCAGTCAGGAACTCCATCTAGATTCAGTGGCAGTGGATCTAACAGTGATTTCACTCTGAGCATCAGTGGAGTCCAGACTGAAGATGCTGGACATTATTACTGTCAGAGTTATCACAGTGGTTATGTGTTCACACAGTGATAAAGAGTCGTACAAAAACCTCGGTCAGTCAGAGTCACAGTGACTGAACTGAAACTGCAGCTGCTCAAACACACACACACACACACACACACACACACACACACACTTCATGTGATGAAGTTGCACTTGCACTTCATTAATATTATAAAGCATGATTTTTTTTCTTCCTAATCATCATACTGTAAAGTGAATCATAAACATGCTGTTGCTTGAATTGAATTGTTTATTAAACATCTTCAGCTGCTGTTTAGATCATCATCTACAAGAGTCACAGATTAACTTGATTCAGAGCAAACTGACAGTGAAAGAGAGAAACACCATTTAACACGATCAGACGCTCCGCCGTCCCACGATCCGTCTGTCTGTAACCATTCACTGTTTCTGGATCATTCATTATTAATCCTGCGATGCGTCTGAGTCTCACACGAGCAGAAGACAGATCTCTCACACACACTTCAGTCTCCAGCAAACACACTTAAAAACATTCATAAAGATGTTATTCCTCAGTCACTGAAATAAAGCGCTTCGTTGTGTGGAAACTGCAGTTATTTTTTACAAGATGAAATACTGTTGTTTTACTATTTTACTATTTATTATTTTTTAATTTGAATATGAGGCTTTGAATGTATCAGCTATCATTTTAATACGTGGATACTAGTTTACTGAAATTATGAAATATGGAATACCTTAGGTATTTTATAGGAACATTGCACTCTGTGAATTAGTTTGTGAATTTCAATTCAAAATTCAATATGAATTAGAAGGAAATCTTTCTTGAAAGAATCAAAAACCTATGATTCGTGAATTGAATCAGATCACTATTACCCAAAGATTTACACTTCTAGTCACACATGTATCTACCAGTGAAGAGTCTCATTACGTTAAATAAGTCATACACGTCATATAAAACTACCACTCAAACTTCACAACTGTCTCATCCCTCCATCAGCAGAAGTGAAACTGTTCCAGTTCAGAGCGTTGAACCAGTAAAAGAGAGAAACTGTGAGTTTGAGGTGAAAATCTCATTTGCATTGTCAGGTTTAGTGATTGTGATGGTCTCAGAATAGAGCAGCTCGTCTCCAGTGACCATGTTCAAACCCCTAGAGCTTCATTTGACATTTACTGCTGAATGCAGCTGTTCTCAACTATTACAATCAATCAAAAGCAGCTGAAACTTTAGTGCAGGACTTTGAAGGAACGACACACTGATCAATGATGCAGTCACACACACATGTAAGCTTGCGTTCAGATGAAGCTTTATTGAATGAACAGCAATGGCAGCACATTGACAGACTGCTTCAGTATTGAGCTGTAAATCACGTGCCGCTCAGATACGCTGGTCTTCACTGGAGAAACATCAGCACTCGGAGCTCTTGAGGAACGAGGCCTCGTGAGCAGCTCCGGCATGTGTTCCTCTGCAGACCAAGTGCTCTCTGCCTTCCCAGCGTGCTTTGCTGAGGCTCAGGACGCTGCTGCGACTGTAGAGACCGCCCCGCTCGCTCTCTGCGCTGGTCTGAACCCCCTCGGTGACCTCTGACCCGTCCAGCGTCCAGCTCACCGTCGCCCCCTGTGGAGAGTAAGAGCTGAGCAGGCAGAGCAGAGCGGAGGAGTCTCCAGAGACCAGCAGAGACACGGAGGGAGACACGGAGGGCCCGGCTGAAACACACACACACACACACACACACACACACACACATACACACACACACACACACACACACACACACACACACACAGTTAGTTAGATGTCAGACTCGGTCATGTAGTAGAAATCACAATCATTATATCTTTACAGAAATTCCACATAACTGCTTTCATTCATAAACCACAAATATCCTGAATTCAGTTTAAAAATATTCTCAGTTAAATCAATATTCACTAATACTCAAATATGTATCATGTAATTCTAAATATAAATCAGTTCTGTAAAGCAGACATGATATACAGCGAATCTTACAGTAATTTGATATTTTCTGAATAATCATTTCATCATTAATTGTATTTTGAAAAATTCTTAAGACTCTCACAATCATAATGATCAGCAAATTTCAGTTCAAATGATGAATTTTTCAAATCTTTCTATTTGTCTGATGGCGACGCCTAAAAAATATAATTATTTTATCCGTATAATCAAACTTTTGTGTCATGGATTTCAAAAAGTATTAGCAGTTAAATTTACCAAGAATTATGGACACAATTATGTACTTAAAAAAAACCCTGAATATGACAGAAAATATCACAATATTACATTCAATATAACATTACAAAAATATTTGGTAACGCTTTAGATTACAGCCCGGAAAGGACTGCGTAATTAAAGCGATTTTACAGCGTAACCTTCGGTAATTATAGTGTACCTGTAACGTACTTACAATATAAGTATAAGGGAACAATATTTTAAGTTTGGGGAATAAAGGGGTAACAACCAGGAGAATAAAAAAATAATTTATACTGTAAGTATTATAGAACTAAGGGGTACTTATTCTACTATTATGATACAACAATCTTACATTTTGGGAGCAATTTAGCAAGAACATACACTGCGTACCTTTTTGAAAAAATGGTGAACCAGCACATACTGTATAGGCTTTATAAATAAAGTAATCTTTTTAACAAAAGTGCACTAAAAATGAAAACTATTGCAACTTTTGCTTAAATATTGTGGAAAGATACTCTTGTTTCATGTAGTGGTGCTTGTTACCCCCTTGTTCCATGTAGTTACAGGGTAAGTGTGACATTGCGGGCTGTAAATTAAAGTGGTGCTTGTTACCCTCTTGTTCCATGTAGTTACAGGGTAACAATAAAAATGCATACACAATCTTATATCACTGACTCGGAAACCTTTATTTATTATACAAGCACCACTTACCCTGTAACCACATGAAACAAGATATATTTCCCAGTATTTAAAATTAAGTAAGCCCAAACTTAAACATCTGCACTTTTGCGAAAAAAATAAATAAAAATAAAAAATGGTATAAATGCATAGATATGTACCCTGTCATTTTTAAAAAGCCTATACAGTATGTATTGGTACACAATTATTACAAAAAGGTACGCAGTGTTCTCGCTATATTGCTCCTAATTGTAAGATTGTTGTATCATAATAGTAGAATAAATATCCCTTATTTCTATAATACTTACAGTATAAATATATTTTTTAATTCTCCTGGTTGTTACCCCTTTATTCCCCAAACTTTACATATTGTTCCCTCATACTTACATGTAAGTACTTTATACTATAATTACCGAAGGTTACACAGTAAATTCCTCTTAATTACACATTACTTTCCGGGCTGTAATCTAAAGCGTTACCAAATATTGCAATCAATATATTAAAAAACAATGAATGTTAGCAATTATAATATATGAAATTAATCATGTAAAAAGACAATTTTAAAAACGATATGAAATATGCTAAGATAAACGTGATGAAATCTCACAGAATAAGTGTTTTTTGTAAAATAACAGACAAATTTAAAGAAATTGTGAAACAATCAAATTCGCCATAAAATATTGCAGTACATTTTTTTAAAAACTTTTTTTTTATCTTGTTGCCAAATGCTTCCTAAAATAAGCTAAAAACAAAACAAATAAATAAAAAATAAATCATTTTTAGAGAATAGAAGAGACTTACTGATCGTCAGTTTAGTTCCTCCACCGAAAGTGTACCACAGTGTTTCATTCTAGTGAAAGCGTCGTACAAAAACCTCCGTCACACTCAAATGAACACACACACCAGCAGAGAAATAGACCAACGACACACACACACACACACACACACACACACACACACACACACACACACACACACACACACACACACACACACACACACACACACACACACACACACACACACACACACACACACACACACACACGAGACTCAAGAGCAGATCTTCTAAACCACTATTGATCAAAAAAGAGCCACAAAATCTTCATCTAAAAAACTGCATAATCAGTCCTGAAATGCAGTCATCACATAAACACATGTGATATAAAATCATCTAATTCTATTGCCCTTCTCTATAATGAAATCTTCAGCCAGATTTAGATGGTCATTCTCTATTGGATGACTTTTGACCTGTTATACAGTATCATGGATGATATAAATACAGCACAGGTATTAAATGCTCTCAGCATCAAAGTCTGAATGAAACTGATCATTAAAACAGTGTTTAGAGCGAGAAGATCGACCCAAAATAACATGAAGTAAATCATGAGTGTCTGTTTCTGAAAATGATAAATAGAAGTTTATTAGCAAAGACACTAAAAGGCAAAACAGTGTTTCTGCTGTCTTCAGGGAAATGATGTGGAGTGTGTTTGCATATTGATCAGATCTTCAGTGTGTGAGAGTGTTTATAGTGCTGTGAGTTTAACACTTCATCACTGACACACACAACCATCTTCATCAACATGACCTTCATCATCATCTTCATCTGGACACTTTTATACTGCTTTATACTACAAGGTGCAACGTTTATTTTTTATATAAATCAATTCAAATATATAATTTTAACAGAGCTATATACTTTAAATAAATAATATATACTTTATGGACTGATAAATGAATTGTTTTTCAGGATGTAGAGCTCAGATCACAGCAACTCAGACTCCTTCAGTGAAAACTGCTAAACCAGGAGAAACTGTAGAGATGAGCTGTAAATTCAGTAGTGATGATACAGCCTGCAGCCCACCCTGTGTGTCCTGGTACTTACAGAAACCTGGAGAAGCTCCTAAACTCCTGATCTATCGTGTAAACAGCCGCCAGTCAGGAACTCCATCTAGATTCAGTGGCAGCAGTGGATCTAGCAAAGATTTCACTCTGACCATCAGTGCAGTCCAGACTGAAGATGCTGGACATTATTATTGCATGAGTAGCAACCGTGGTCCAGTGTTCACACAGTGATAAAGAGTCGTACAAAAACCTCCGTCAGTCAGAGTCACAGTGACTGAACTGAAACTGCAGCTGCTCACACACACACACACACACACACACACACACGCTCAACAATGAAAAAACACAAATTAACTTAATATCAATTTTGCTGCACTTCATTAATATTACTGAAGATAATAAGAAATGATTTTGATCATATATTTTTTGATAATTGTTGGTTTATCTATTCTCGTGGTTGTTCATGTGTTTTTATAAAGCATGATTATTTTTCCTTCTTAATCATACAATCACGCTGTAAAGTGAATCATAAACATGTTGTTGCTTGTGTTACGTCCCATGACGTAATATTTAGAGTTTATGGGTGCTGGCGATGTTTTCTCCCCTCCTTCTGTCTCTCTCTCTCCCTCTGCCAGGCAGCGCCCCAAATCACCTGCAGCTGGTGCTGATTAACAGGAGTGGATATAAAACACCAAAGACACCGTGTTCGAAAGAGATCCCTCTTCGGCTATCCCAGACGTTGTGGTGTTACTTGTTGTTAAAACTTTATCTGTGAGATCTGTGTGATCTGTGTTTGAGTACCACGAGCTCTTAGACTGTGTGAGTTTAAGTTGTTCAACCGTGTAGGGAGACGGGTGCCAATTTGTTTGGAGTATCTACTCCTGAACTTTTCTCCTGTTTATTCTTTGTTAGTCAGGGAGAGAGGTAAGATAATTGTCTTTGATTTCATCTTCTTTTTGTTAGGAAATTTAATTGGGTTTAAACCTTAGGAAGTCTCCATTTTGTTTGTTATTTTGGCCTCGCCCTCTCCTGACGATTTGGTTATTATTTAAACTTATTTATCTGTTACTGACCCTTGCTTATTTTGTAAATATATTGAGCAAGCCTTTGTTGGCCTCAATTCAAGAAAATAAATAAAGAACTACTTAATCATTCTCCCTCAAGTTCCTTTTATGATCAGGTCAAACTCAAAGGGTGTTGTGTAAATCTGTTAGATATAAAAGTGATATACAGATAGAGCTGGGATAGAGGAAAAGGAGATTTCTCACTTCTTTTTAATTGTTACATCTTTCATTTATTGTTAGTCCCTCTTTTCCCCTAGACTAGAGAGAGGGAACGTAACAATTGGGGGCTCGTCCCTTGCGTCGTTCTGTGTAATTTTGTGGATTCCTTTTTAACAATAGGTAGTTTTGTCCTGTGACAATTAACTCATGAGGCCTATTGCTAATTTTGAGGATTCGTTACTCGTTAGTACAACTCTACTTTGTTGAGTACTACTTTATTCTTGATTGCTGGCTGTTTTCTTTGGGTGAAAGAGGAGAGTGTAGTGGGGGATTAAGAGATGGAATTTGATCTGCTCTCGTTTACCCTTGCGCCGACTTTTGAAGTCTTTGATCGCTGTAAGAAGAAAGATCTTATTCAGATAGCAGAGTTTTTTAACATCGTAATTTCCAAAGAAGCTACCAAACAAGTCATTAAAGAAAAGTTGTATGACAAATTGGTAAGCGATGGAATTTTGCCGAGTCAAAGCAATGATGGTGAGGAGGTAGAGCAACATGCAGCAGCAGATAAAGATGTGGATAGTGTAGGTCCACCTGACATTGACTCTATGGCTTTTCAAGACCCTAGGTTAGCAGTGAGGTTAAAGGAATTAGATCTAGAAATAAAGAAGCAGGAGTGTGAAGCTCAGATGATTAAATTGAGAACCATTGAAGCGGAGGCTGATCGGGATATTCAGTTGCAAAAATTGGCTTTAGAAGCTCAGCGTACTGCTGTACAACCAATCCCTTTTCCGCATGTCAAAACCTCTTCAGTTTCCTCTCCTACTTTGACAGCAACTAGTCTTTTGTCTGATGGGCATAGCCATGTATCTTCTGCCGTTCCTTTTGACCCCAGTAGATCTATTAAGCTAGTACCACCGTTCAGAGAGGCGGAAGTAGATTCCTACTTTGTGACGTTCGAGCGAGTCGCAGGAAAGTTAGCATGGCCGAAGGAGATGTTGGCTCTATTGTTACAGTGTAGTCTCACTGGAAAAGCGCAGGAGGTCTGTTCTGCTCTACCAATCGAATCTTCTCTTGACTATGACATAATTAAGGCAGCGGTTTTACGCGCGTTTGAGCTTGTCCCTGAAGCTTACCGGCAAAAATTTCGGCGCCACGTGAAAACAGCCAGACAGTCTTACGTAGAGTTTGCAAGGGAGAAAAAAATCCTCTTTGATAAATGGTGTCTCTCTAGCAAGATAACGACTCTGGAACAGTTGCAGGAGTTAATCATGCTAGAAGACTTTAAGAATTGTGTGCCAGAGAATGTGGTGGTTCATTTGAATGAACAAAAAGTCGCTTGCTTGTCTAACGCTGCTGTTTTGGCTGACGAATTTGTATTGACACATCGCACTGTTTTTACTACAGCACGGCAGACAAAATTTGCCACACCGTATTCAGGCGATTCGTTGAATGTGATGCCTCCTGTAGCACGCCCTGCTAGAGTAGAAAATTTCCCAAAGAGTGCTCGTAAATTTAAACCTGCAAATAGTGAGAGACGGGAATGTTTTTACTGTCTAAGCCCTGAACACTTGATTGCGGACTGTCATCAGTGGAAGCAGAAGGGTTCGAAAACGAAGAGTGTAGCACTTGCTCAGTCATTACCAAAATTAAGCCCAACTGATGTAGAAAGTTACCAGCCATTTCTTCAGGAGGGCATGGTTTCTATATTCCCTGATGCTGAGTTTAAGCCAGTAGTCATGCTTAGAGACACTGGAGCTATGCAGTCCTTCATTCTGGAGCGTAGCCTTCCATTTTCTGCTGACACGTACACAGGATATGATGTGTTGGTCCGTGGTATTGAGATGTGCTGTGCTAATGTGCCTTTGCATACGGTTCACTTAAAGTCAGGTCTTGTAAGTGGAACTGTTAAACTGGGTGTCCGCAGACAGTTACCTGTAGAAGGTATAGACTTAATTATAGGGAATGATTTAGCAGGTGGCGAAGTTTTTCCTTCTCCAATTGTGACACATACCCCAAGTGTAAAGGAGCAGTCTAACCTGTCTACCTTTTATCCTTCAGCATTCCCAGCATGCGCAGTGACCCGTGCACAGGCACAAAAGTTCAAGGAAGTGGTGGATCTTGCTGATTCCTTTCTGGTCTCTGACACTACCCCATGTGAGTATTCGCTGATCCCAGTGCCTGAGCTTTCACCTGATCCTAGTTCAGAGTCAAAAAGCCCCTTAAAAGTGAGTCGAGAACATTTGATAACTGCTCAGAGAGAAGACCCAACGCTAGCTAAGTGTGTTAAAGCTGCAGATCTTGGGCAAGTGCCTAATTCTGGGGTTATGTATTTCTGGGATCATGGACTACTGATGCGTAGATGGAAACCAGATGAAGAGGATGAGAACTGTCAGCTGGTCCAGCAAATTGTGTTGCCTTCTGGCTATCGCCTGCATGTGTTGAAGCTGGCTCATGAACACGTAATGTCCGGTCATCTAGGAGTGACGAAGACATCCTATCGAGTTTCCCGATACTTCTACTGGCCTGGTATAAAGTCTGCTGTGTCTGCCTTTTGCAAAGCTTGCAAAGCTTGCAAAGTTTGCCAACTCACGGGAAAACCGAACCAACGAGTTCCTGTCGCTCCTCTTACGCCAATCCCTGTGATGTGTGAGCCCTTTGAACGACTGATCATCGATTGTGTGGGCCCATTGCCTAAGTCCAAGGCAGGACATCAATATATGTTAACTATCATGTGTGCTGCAACACGCTTTCCCGAAGCAGTCCCATTACGCAACCTGAAAGCCAAAGCAGTTGTGAAAAAGCTGGTCAAGTTCTGTTCCACTTTCGGCCTGCCAAAAGTAATCCAGACAGACCGTGGCACTAATTTTACGTCAAGAATGTTTGAGCAGATTCTAAAGGAGCTTGACATAAATCATCAGTTATCCAGTGCCTACCACCCAGAGTCACAAGGTGCGATTGAGAGGTTTCATCAAACTCTTAAAACGATGTTGCGCAGCTATTGTGTTGAGACAGGAAAAGATTGGGACGAGGGTCTCCCCTTTCTTCTGTTCGCTGTGAGAGAGACAGTACAAGAGTCTCTAGGATATAGTCCAGCAGAGCTTGTCTTCGGTCATGTGGTGCGAGGACCGTTAAAGTTGAGTGAGCAACTGTTGACTGAACATTCAACCCCTGTGGCTATCCCTGACTATGTCCAGTCTCTTCGTCAGAGACTTCAGAGCGCTCGTGGAGTAGCAGCAAAACACCCTGAAACCGCACAAGGCAAGATGAAAGCACGCTTTGACCAGAAGTCTGTTAGCAGATCTTTCCAGCCTGGCGATTTGGTTCTAGCTTTGCTACCCATTCCTGGTTCTGTGTTCCAGGCGAAGTTTAATGGTCCCTACGTTGTCAAGAGGAAAGTGAGTGACGCAAATTACATCATTGACACACCTGACCGCAGACGTAAAAGCCGTTTGTGCCACATCAACATGCTGAAAAGGTATGTGACTACACAAAGTGAGACAAAGTGTGACAAACCCACAGTGGAAGCGAAGTGTGAGACCGCAAGTGTGCCAACCTCCACTGTTGCTATGGTTATCAGCTATACCATGGAAGACGATGGATTGTGTAATAAAGGTCAAGTTTCCTCCACACGTTTACAGAACTCTGCCATTCTAAGTGACCTTAAGAGTTACCTTGCTCATCTCGGTGAAAGTCAGGCTGAAGAACTGACTAATTTGCTGCATAAGTTCCCTAGTTTATTCTCAGATGTGCCTGGAAAAACTGCAATGTGTTCCCATGACATTGATGTTGGAAATGCGTCCCCCATCAAACAGCATCCTTATCGAGTCAATCCCCAAAAGCGTAACATAATGAAGGCTGAAGTGGAGTATATGCTGCAGAATGGAATTGCTGTGCCAAGTCAGAGTCCCTGGAGTTCGCCCTGCTTACTGGTACCAAAGCTTGATTCCACCTATCGCTTCTGCACCGACTTCCGCAAAGTCAACAACATCACTAAAGCAGATTCCTTCCCACTCCCTAGAATGGAAGACTGTGTGGACAGGGTGGGCAACGCTAAGTTTGTAACAAAGCTAGACCTCCTGAAAGGATACTGGCAGGT